TCACGATGACAGGCTGCTTTGGGAGCTTCCCCTTTCCCGGAACTTTGTAGTAGCCCGATTGCACCACATCAATGATAGGGGCAGCTCCAGTCTTGTTTTTGGCAGCATTTACCCGTGTCTGCTCACTGACCAAGGTCCACAGTTTATCAAGGTTGACAGTTGGGCAGAAGCTCTGGTTCCTTTCTAAATGGTAATGCCTCATACCAACTTTCCCAAAGTAACCTGGGTGATATTTGTCAAAGTTGATCCTGTGGTGATGCAGGCCACCAGCATTACCTCGGCCTCCTGGGTGCTTCCGGTGCTTGCCGATGCGGCCGTGGCCGTGGCTCACGTGACCCCTAAGTTTCTGGGTCTTCCTCAGTCTGGATGGCATGTCGACAGCCGGGATGAAAAAAAAAAAAAGCTATATTAAATATTTTTACAGGAAGGAATAACATGTTCATGAAGGATATACACAACTTCTTGGTGGGTTTATGGATTTTTGTTTTGTTGCTGTGTTTTGTGATTACTTTTATTATTACTAAGATTACTTTTATTTTTAAAAACTCATCTTTTAATGTTCTTATTTTTTTTCTTGAGTATACATCCAAACCGAACCCAGATATGATTACCACCCAGCCTGAAGTGAATATATCAATTAATAAATAAATGCAGGATCCCATACAGTCAGTGTAATGTAGTGCTTGAGAGTACGGACTCTAGAGACTACATGCCTACATAACTAACGCCTAAATTATGGAGCCTAAATACTGACTCCATAACTTAACAGCCGTGGGACCCAGGGCAAGTTACTTATCCTCTATCCGCTTTAATTTACTCATTTGTAAAATTGGGATAAGATACTTCTTCATTAAGGTCAGTGTGAAGATTAAATTAATTCTTTTTAAAAGCTCTTAACAACAGTGGCAGTCACCATAGAGCTATGCAATTTATTGTCGGATTTAAAACACTGTACTAGCCCTGGTGAGAATGACGAACCAAAATCCAGTCCCTATTCGTGAAGAGAGAGGGAGAACACCCAAAAGCAACATCCTAGTCAAAGCCGAACGAAATCGGGCTAGAGTCACGTACAAGCAACAAGCGGACATTCAGGAATGATTAATTCTGAAGACAGTGAATCCGGGAAGTTACAGTAAGGAGCGACAGCATTTGAACTGAGTTCTGAGAATGAGTGGGCCTTCAACAGGTGGCTAATAAGACATGAGGGAAACCACAAAAGATCTTAGCAAAGGCACAAAGTCTAAAATTGAGTTGTCGTTCTCCAGGACACCAGTATGGAGCGAGCAGGGGATGAAGACGACACGTGGCGAACAAACGTGGTTGCCGAGTGTTTATCACGCAAAATGCCACGAGACGGAAGGGGAATGATAAAAACAATAATAGTGACAATAACAACACACCCCAAGGTGCTCAGCTGTAAAAAAAGGAAAAGTACAAAGGTGTCGTTAAGAAAGCCAAGTCGACCGAGACCTAATCGCTCTCCACGGTCCTCTAGGCGCCAACGCTGGCGACAGCCAGACTCGGGCGGCAGACGGCGAAACAGCGCCTCCCGCAGGCGGCGAGCCACGTGGGGACGTACCGGGAGCAGGAGACCCGGCGTGAGAACTACAACTCCTACTAGGGCCGGGGGCTCAGGCCCCTTTCCGTATTTCCGCTTCCGCCGCCCTCCCTCTTCAATCGGACCCACCCGGGAGCGGGTCTGGCGCGTGACCGCGCGTGACCCCTCGTGACCGGCGCCCCCGAGCCGAGAGGCCCCGAGGCCGTACTGTGGGACCCATTGGTAGAAAGGCAACCCGAAAAGGCGGACCTGAACTTGAAAACCTCGGGAGTGATTGGAGTTGATAGGACGAGGGCGGAGCCTAACGCCCGCCATTAGTGGCCAATCAGTGTCCAGGATGATCCGGGGACCGGGAAGGGGAAAGGGGCGAGATGGTTCTGTGGTCACATGCTGCGGGGTCTAGTGGGAGGAGCAGTTGCCCAGCGGCCGCCTGGCGCTTCCTGTTTCCGGTTCCTGGAGTGGAGCACCGCGAGGTGACGGGGGGAACGCTGGCTGTGACACGAGCCCTGGGACCGGGCTCTGCGGCTAGCCCCTTGCTGGCCCTGCCTCCCAGCCCCAGACAGGTGCTCACCCGGGGAGTCTGAGCTTTAGCTGCTCCCTTTGCCCGTGACACGTGAGTATGAGGGGCTGGTGAGCGCTCGAACCTCGGCGTCTGTGACAGGGGCCGAGATCGTTAAGTCTCCCTTGTCCAGGGTTCTAGCCAAAAATCCAGCGGAGGAGCCTTAAAGCAGAAGGGGGCGGAGGCGTAAGGGCGAGGAGTCACAGAGCCCCAAGGGTAGTGAAGGAGAAAGGACCTCCAAGATCAGAGGGGATTTACGTGTATTTGGAAGGCAGGGAAGGGACGGTCCCTAGGTGTGGAGTGCGTTTGAGGTGTCACTGGATACCTTAGAAGGAATTTTGGACTGCATCGCAGAGGGAGGTAAAGTAGCATCATTTGGAGAGGGTATGGCCCTGAGCAGGTGGGAAGTTAGGAGACTAGAATTTTTAGATCCCTGGAAGTTTAAGGGGCGTGAGTGTAGGGCATGGAGAAGAGTAGTTAATGGAAAGATTACTGCTGTGTTCCTCTTTGTAGGGAGCTTCTGCCCTTGGGACATAGAACTACTTTCTGAGGTTTTTCAGCACCGGGCCTTTTAGCTAATGAGGACTCCTCTTCTTAAAAGTGTAGGTTGCTGGAGACAGGAGAGAAGGGCTGCTAACATCAGAAATGAGTCAGAGAGATGAGACTGGAAATGTCATTGAAAAATGGAAAATGCTCATGGCTATTCTTGAAGGATGGGGAAGTGAGTGGTACAGAGACCCAGTGATGTAAACTGCTTCCCAATTCCCGGTTTAGTCATTGGTAATCCCACTGCAGAAGAATTTTTTAGCTTTACCAAATAGGCCTATCATAGAACAAAAAAATTGAAGAAGGGGCCTTCAAAATCTTACAGTCCTGCCCCTTGTTTCCAAAGTATCTAGACAAACTCTTGCGCCTTGAGAATCTAACTGTAGCCCGTTAAAAGGGGCTACCCAGCCCTTGGATTTCATACTCTTCCTAATGCATTTTTGCACCCCTGTATTTATCAGAAATTTTTCAGCCAATATCTTTATGTCATGAATTGTCCAGGCTGCCGCACTAACTTCATACATGATTAATACTTGTATAATCTAGGGCAAGTAACTTAACCTCTGTAAGCATCACTTTCCTCATCTATAAAATGGGAGAAATTATACCTACTTTCCTGGGTTGTGAAGATGAAGGAACGTAATCTAGATAAAGCACTCAGAGCACATGCCGCTGAATCAAAGAGAAGCGGCTCCAGCATATAGGCAAACTTTAAGCTGGAAAGAGAATATAAATTGATTCTCATCCTAACTGTTTGAACCAATAAGCAAATGAAAGCTAGCTCAACTCAACAATGCAGACTGCAGAGTATTTAACCCTTCATTCTTTCCCAATTTTGTGAGATTCTCTAATTTGGGAAAAGAAATCATCAACGTTAACCCACAAGGAAAAACTTTGAGGCCAAAAAACACAGCCTTCTGTGTGAGCATCCCTCCAGAAAAAGGCCCTGGGAAAAAAACCTTGAAAGGCCAGAATGTTGAAATTTTAAATTAGACCCCAAGAGAATATAAGGAAAATAGCATGCTAAATCAATCTAATAGAAAGAGTCTCATTTCTTTTTTGTAACTGATCTGGTCAAGTTGTGTGTTGAGCAGTGAGATAACTTAGGGAAGGTAGGAGTTTGAGGTCTGATTTCTTCATTCCACCTCCTATTCAATGAACTGTTGAGGCATCACTTCTTGCTCTGTCAAAAAGAAAGCAAATCTTTGGCTGCATACTCTGATCCCACAAAAAAGTTGATGTGAAAGGAGATAGATATACACGTAGTGAAATGTAGACCATGAGCTCTGAAGCCAGACTATCTGGTTTACTCTGTTAGCTCTGTCTCAGTTTCCTCATCTTAAAATAGAGACAATAACTGTATTCACTGCATAGGGTTGTTGTAAGGATTAATTAATGTATGTGAAGTGCTTCAAACTATCTGGCAGAAGGCAGGTAAAGTGTTTCCTATTGATATCTTAAAGGTGTTTATGGGGGCCTCAGACTTTATGGCTGGCTATAAGTATTCTGTGGAAACATCTTATTAATATTACTATAGTGAACTAATGTTTGGAGTTCATAAAGTCAGGCAAACAACTTCCTAAGCATTTGTTATCCTAGTGGAATGTGGGAAACAAGGTCAAATTTAAGTTTGTTCAGGGGAGTGGAGAAAATTCATTCAGGGCTCAGGTTCCATTTTCTTATCTTTAAATTTTGGGGTACCCATTAAATTCTGCCTATTTCGAGTTTTACATTCTAAAAATGCAATGGAGTCGGTGGACAAGCGTGGGAAAAAAAGAGTATTGGAACCAAAGTCCAGACTTGTAGTATGGAAGCATTTTATTATAAGGGAGAAAAGTTTGGAAGAATTAAATCTTTGTATCAGAAAAATTAGAGCTGGCCGAGTGGCATGTTCATTAGGAATTGGCTTGGGAGCGCGAGCTCTGAGCAGCAGGGCCACCGGTTCGGATCCCACTTGGGGACCAGTGACGCTGCGCCCTCTACAGCTAAGATGGTGAACAACAGCTCGACCTGGAGCTGAGCTGCCGTGAGTCGCCGGCTATGGCGTAGGCTGCAGTTGGGCTGTACTGGGCTGCCATGAGCTACCGTGAGTGGCTGGCAGCCACGAGAGCTTCCGTGAGCCGCTGTGAGCGGCCGTCCAATAGCCAGCAACTGATCTGCCTCACCTGGGAAGAGCGCAATGATAATACCAACATGGACCAGTGAAGGACGTCCTCCACAACTAGACTGAAGAACAAAAGGACAGCAACTTGTCTGTTCCCCTTCCCCGATTCCCCAGTGCTGTTCCATCCCCCAATTCCCCAATAAAATCTTTTAAAAAAAGAAAAATTAGTGATAATGTTAAGAAGTAAACAAGTAGCAGTGGTTTGAGGGTCATTAATGATACCAGAGTGAAGTCTTTTGAAAGGGTATTCAGTGTGTCCTTTGTAGGGAAATGAATTAGAGAAAAGAAAATGAGTTTGGGAAACAGAACCATGTGTTTCCATTCCTAGAGTAGTACAAGCAACAGGTCAATTGGAATTACTAAATTGTAAAGTGACTTGGTGAGTGCTAAGGGTTGTCAGCAATTTGGAGTGTAGAAAGACAACTATACTTACTGGAAATCTAGAAACTCTTGAAATTCGTGACTTGTGGAGCCTGAAGCGGGTTTTGGAAGACTCCTTCAAACCACTCATTTTGACCTAGGGAATTTTCTTCCTGTAATTTAAATGATTGAATTATTTTTCAAAAATGAGACGTTAAAGTAGATAAAGTCGTTGTGGGTTGCTGCGGCTGCGTTCATCTCTGTTCATCATTCTTATGAATATGAACGAAGACTGTTGGGTGCTCCTGTGTATTGTTTGAGAGGTTAGAGCCCACAGTATTCAATTCTCTTTCCCTATTTTTACATTTTCTTAATAACTTGCAAATAGACCCTATTAAGTCTTAAGTTGTAATTTGCATCTTATCTTAGGGAGGGCCACTGGTTTAAGAAGTATTTATGAACTGCCCCTGCACAAGTTCCTCAGCTGTTCATTTCCTGTGTTTATGGCAAGTTCCAGGCAGAGCTCCCATCCCTCTGGCCTCAGCTTCTTCCCTTTAGTTATGTGGCCTGCAAAGTAAGGAAGACAAACAAGCAGACAAATAAAAACGGTTGATCCGGCCAGTAGCATATGCCTGTCTCAGAGATTAAGCCATGCAGTCTAAGGACGCATGACTGGTACAGTGAAACCGCACAAAGTTTACACTATTAAACTTTAAATAATGAGAGATCACAATCTAACTTTTCACCAAACTAGAAGGAGGCAAGGATGTCTACACTTGGGCTGTCATAATTAAGTAATTGTTTTTTTGTTCTTTCCTTTCCCTCTTCTCGCCTCCATAATGTGTTCTGAAGGACTCACCTAAGAATTAGACTAAAGGTTATGTATTGTATATATATGAGCTTCCTGATACACGTGCTCTGGGCACAGAGATATTAAAATATACTATTTGTCGCATATGCCAAAGAATTCTATACTTTCTGCATAATCAAAATACCATTCATTGTTGGCACCTAAGTATTCCCTAGGCCGTTGGTTGGTCCTTTTGACCAACCAAGGCCGTTGGTTGGTCCTTTTGACCAACCAACGGCCTAGGCAATGAGTCTTTTTCCTAGTGGAGCTGAGTCTAGAACAAAAAATGAGTCTTTCTCCTAGTGGACCTGAGGAGTTGCTAACCTGCCTTGGAAGCGAGGTGTTCTTGTTTTATGAACACCTTGAAAAAATCATCAACAACACCTATAGACACTAACTCTTCGCCAAGGCCAATGCCGTTCTCTTTGTTGAATGCACATGTGCCCCTGTCCTGAAGGGGCACAGGAGATGAGTGATGGTATCAGGCAATGGAATCAGCTAGGAAAAGACTGTCAAAATAAGTTTTAAAAAGAAAAAGAGAAACCTAGAGATTTGAAAATCCAATTCAGAATATTAAAGGACAGGGAAAAGTAACTTGGGTAAGAGCTAAAAGCTTGAAATGGACAGACACAAGAAAATAAAACCCAACTTCACAATAAAGAAGAAAACTGGCTAGTGTAAAATACGAGGTGATGGGCAGAAGATAAAAGGATTTTTAAAAACACCTTTTGTTTATTACACACTCATATGCGTTCTCTCTTTCCCTTCTCTCCTGCTCCTCCCCGCTTCCCCTTCCCCAACACACACACTGTCCCCCAAAAGGATGTTCCCCATCTACAGCTGCTGGAGGACTGGATTACTGCTGCTGCTACTCCTGGCTGTGACAGTAAAAGAATCCTGGCAGGCGGAAGAAAAAACCTGCGACCTGTTAGGAGACAAGGGTAAAGAGTCGGAGAAAGAATTGGCTCTACTGAAGAGGATGAAACCACTGTTTAACAAAAGGTAAATGAGAAGAACCTTAAAGGACTTGAGAAAACAACTTCATTAAAGAATCTTTTTTTCCTCTTACTGATTTTATTTTGGTATTACTATTGAATATGAAGGGAATATGTGTATAATGACCTCTTTATCTGGGATAGCGGTGCTGTCTTGCTTTCTTTTATGATACAGAGAAATTCTCAGCCCAGTTTTTAGTAGCATTGTGCAGCTCTCTTATGCAGAACAGCTACTGTTTCCAAGACTGGATCCAAGAGACAGCTTGTAGGAATTTTTTTTAAAAGCATTATCTGATGCCTCCATATAACTAGGACTTTAGAAGTATCAGATGAGCATGTGTAGACCTATACATGTTATCAGAAGTGTCAGGAATCTTCAGGTATATAGATCTGATGTTCTTTAAGGAACAAGGGAGTAACACATGAACATAGACCCTTATTCACAGGGAAATAGTAGGTAACACTTTAGCATAGCCTAGAGCAGGTTTTCTAGGATTATCTAGACCAGCAGTTCTCAACCTTTCACAGGGGTCACCTAACACCATCGGAAAACACATATTTTCGATGGTCTTAGGAACCAAGACACCACTCCTCTACCTGTCTCCATGCCCACATGCAGATACGTCCACATGCAGATACGCCCACATACGAGTACCCTGCAACCCCTGTGAAAGGGTCGTTCGACCCCCAAAGGGGTTGCGACCCACAGGTTGAGAACCGCTGATCTAGACCAAGGGTCGGCAAACTGCAGCTCACAAGTCACATGCGGCTCTTTGGGTACATACATGTGGCTCTGAAGTAAAATTGAAAATGAAAATAAAACTATCATGGTTTCATTTATAAAATTTTTAAAGGATATTATTCACATAGTGGTGATTTCATTTGTTTTATGGCTCTCAAATAATTTTTAAATTGTTGTGAGGGACAGGATTGGCTCTTCCGTCTCAAAAGTTTGCCGACCCCTGATCTAGACTATGTTGCTGTCTGGGATGGTGTATTTTAATCAGTCTTCATCAACAGTTAGGATAGTCTGGTAGGGTCATGGATGTCTCATGATTCAATCAATATCACTCACTATTCTACTTAGCTGTGACCTCAGATAAATAAATTGAATACACCTTTTTTTGGGGGGAGGGTAAAAGAAAGAGGGGTTGCTCTTCCTTAAGGCTGATAGCCAGTAACTCTCCTCTTCCTTCTTTCTCCTCACTTCTCCTTACAGCTTTCAGAGCACTGTGGGCCAGGGTACAGAAACGTATGTGTACATATTCAGGGTGTGCCGGGAAGCTGGCAACCACTCCTCTGGGGCAGGCCTGGTGCAGATCAACAAAAGTAATGGGAAGGAGACGGTGGTGGGGAGACTCAACGAGACTCACATCTTCAATGGAAGTAAGACTCTGCCTATTGACTGATTAACTGATGCCACGTCACTCCCTCTGACAATCCTGTATGTCTTTCCCAGTCTCTTCAGAATATCTCCTGGTATGTGTGGTGCAGCACACCTGAGACTAGAAACCACAGGAGACCTAGTTCCACAGCTCCTCTGGAGTCAAGGCTCACGACATTTATGTGTTTGTTTTAAAGTTCATGAAAAGCTTATGCAAAAAAGAAGAATCTAGCTGGAATTGTATAGCCTGGAGTCCCTTCACTACTTAATGAGTTTTTCATGCTAGGCTTCAAAGTATCAACTGCCACCATTTAATTAATCAAATTCATCAAATTTTGCAAGAGATCAAGTTTTACAAACCAGTCAGTCTACAAAAACTTCCCTACCAACTTGTGATAAAGATGGTGACAGTATTTCTCAAAAGTCACAATCTTACTGCTAGAAAGGACTGAGCACCTATAGCCCAATTCCTTCCCTTAAGCAGATACATAACTAAAGTATCGCCCCAGTGCAGATTATTGATCCTACAAATAGTATAAGAAAAAGTAACGTGAAGGATTTGGGGTTGTGGGTCAGAAGACTGGATTTTTTACCCAGATCATTGTATTTACTTGCCCTGTGACTTTGAAAAATAATTTCACCTTTTTTACTTTGTTTTCACATATGCAAAATTGGAAGCAGAATCCTTACCTTATTCACCTCACATGACTGTTGAATCAAATAGTTTGAAAAAAAAAATTGAACACAGTAAATAAAAGGAAAAAGAAATGCCCCCCAATCTTAAAAATCATCGACTTTGAATTTATCTGTGGCTAATTTAAATCCTAGGCTTTCCCCTGCCACCCAGTAGTTGTAGGGAACCTCTTTTAATATTCGCAGGTATTCGGCAAATGGGAATCATTGTTAAGGTATAGATCACAATCGTTCTTGCACTATCAGTTCCCCGCCTCTAGTGTAGAAAATTAAGATTCTCATATGACTATCTGAATCTTAATTGTCTTAGTAAGGGAACATAAAGCTGTTGTAAAGAAGCACGTTTTAGCTTGGTATTTCTGGTATAGAGAGCCCATACTGATGACAGTTATTTTCATTAAAACCAATTTCACTGAACTCCCCAATTCCACTTTCCCATAGTAGCCAGGTCTGCCTCTGCTGTTCTCCCACCCCAAAGCTCCATTTTCCTTGTCCCTCCTCAGGTAATTGGATCATGCTGATCTATAAAGGGGGTGATGAATATGACAGTCACTGTGGCAAGGAGCAACGTCGGGCAGTGGTGATGATTTCCTGCAATCGACACACCCTAGCGGTGAGGCAACCTGGGGTATATGAGCCTAGAGAGGAGATGAAAGGACTGACCTGAGGTGGGAGAGACTCTCCAGAGGGGACAGGATACATTGGGATGGACAAGAAAAAAACAGAAGTTCAATTATTCCCTATGTTGTAGACACCCTTCTTCCAACATACATGAAAATAGGTTATCGAACTAAGAGAAAGCAAATGTTTCTTGGGTTTTGTGGGCTTTTTCTTTTTTAAATGGAGTCAAAAGAAAACACTTGACTACATAAATGTGTTCTGTCCTTTCATCAGGACAATTTTAACCCTGTGTTTGAGGAGCGAGACAAAGTCCGTGAGTGTTTCTACCTCTTTGAGATGGATAGTAGCCTGGCCTGTTCCCCAGAGATCTCCCATCTCAGTGTGGGTTCTATCTTACTTATCACGTGAGTATTCTTTTTCCCTTATTGGTCCAAGCCTTCCTTTTTTTTTTCTTAAAGATTTTGTTGGGGGATTGCGGAAGGGGAACAGCCAAGTTTTTGTCCTTCAATCTTAGTTGTAGAGGGCGCAGCTAGCTCAGCTCCAACTCTAGTTGCCATAGGGCCACCTGTCGGCAGCTCGCTGCCGCTCAGCTCAAAGTGCCATGTTCAATCTTAGTTGTGGGTGGGTGCAGCCCAACATCCCATGCAGGACTGGAATTGGAAACCTTGTTGCTAAGAGCGCATGCTCTAACCAGCTCAGCCATGCTGCCACCTGTTAGCAGCTCAGTGGCAGCTCAGCTCAGGCGCAGCTCACGGGCCCATGTGGGAATCGAACTGGCGACCCTGTTGCTCAGAGCTCGCGCTCTCAACCAACGAGCCACTCGGCCCACCCACCTTTTTTTTTTTAAACTTGTAATTTCTTGGTTGTATATGGGACCAATTATGTATGTGTTTATGTGTTATAATTGGAGTTGGAAGGTCTTTGTGTGAAAATCCTCTTTAAACTCTGACTATACAAGTTTTAAAACGAGATTTACGTGTCCCGACATCCGGACGGTCCGGTGGGAGAGTGCCCCTTATCAGGGCAAACGGGGCGTGGCCAGAAAGGGGGCCGCCCCCTCACCTGTCACTCAACTGCATGTTCGTGGGGAACCTGGTGCTAAACCATTCCTAGATGACCTGCTTCTGGGTCAGGGTTTCGTATGCAGCAGAGCAGCTCCCTCGCTGCGATCTATTGAAAGTCAGCCCTCTACACAAGGGTTTGTAAAAAAAAATAATAATAAAATATAAATTATAAAAAATAAATGAAAACATGAGATTTAATGTTTTGTCCCCAATAAATATTCACATTGGAGGTGTTTTTCCCTGCTGGAGAGCTCGACAATTATTAATACTATCCCATTAGATTATTAGAACATTTGAACAGAATCATGTATCTAATGATGACTATTCTTGGCAGAAGTCACAGTCTAATTTTTCTCTGAGCATGTTTTTTCAGACTAACAGTGCTCTAATTGGTTGTCTGAAGACGCTACCAGCCCTTTTTCATTTAATATCACTACTCCTTTTTTCCCCGTTTTACAGAACAGTTTAGGAAGTAGCTAATGATGACTACAGAGATTATCCTTAGTATCTGAGTTTTACTATTTCTTGGTTTTTAAGTATAGATCTTTCTTTCTCAATAGGTTTGCGTCACTGGTTGCTGTCTATATCATCGGGGGGTTCCTCTACCAGCGACTGGTGGTGGGAGCCAAGGGAATGGAGCAGTTTCCCCACTTAGCCTTCTGGCAGGATCTTGGCAACCTGGTAGCAGTAAGTAACCGGGCAGCTGGCTGAGTCTGTAGCCTGCATACAGGGTTGAGTGACCAACCACCTGGTTTGCCAGACTGAGAGGTTCCCTGAGACACAGGACTTGGGTGCTAAAGCCACAAAGGGCCCAGCAAACCAAGACAGCTGATGGCCCTAGCACTAAGTAACGGAGCCTCTTAGCGCCTGGCCTTGCTAAGACTTGGCTGGAGGAGCAACACTGTTGCTTAGATTTGGAATCTGATGCAGCTGGTAAGGGGCCTGGGTGGAAAGGTGAGGCCTAATTAGAATTTTTCTCCTGTATCCCCCAAATTCAACTTAGGGTGATCTTTGGGACTTTGGGGTTTTCTCTTCATTATCCCTGGAGAAAATTTGCCCTTGCCACATTTTTAGACCATAAATATACTTTGCTTTATGCGAAAGTGAGTTATTCCAAATTATCATTTCCTTCCTTTGCTTTTCTCTCTGCAGGATGGTTGTGACTTTGTGTGCCGTTCTAAACCCCGAAACGTGCCTGCTGCGTATCGTGGCGTGGGGGATGACCAGCTGGGGGAGGAGTCAGAAGAAAGGGATGATCATTTATTACCAATGTGATTGCACTTTAAACGCCCAGCTGCTTCTTCAGTCCCCCAAGCCAAAGCTTCCTCAGCCAGATTTCTTAAGCAGTCTCTAATCCGGTCGCTCATCTCACTCTTAACGTTGCTCTTGGTTTCGTTTGCTTTTGGTTTGCAGCCTCTTCTCACCAGAAACACTTTCCCTTTTTCCGTATTTTCCGTTTTCCCTCTAGATGTGGAGTTGTAGGCCAGAGGTAATAGGGCCAGTGACAAGGGGCTGTGGCGCTCTTGGTATAGGAAGGCGCAGGCATGGTAGTTTTAATGAGCAAAAGCGTGTGGCAGGCTTGCTGGCCCTTCCTTTTTTAAACAGTTCACAAGTTTTTGAGACACTGGATTTGTTTAATTAAAAAAGCGAAGTACTATTATTTATACAAAGTTTGATTGCTTTCATGCTCTCACTCTGTACCCTACAGTAGTCTCCATGAGAATCTGGATGTGATTTCTTGCTGCTTGGAATTACTTTGCAGTGATTACTTGGTTGCAGTCCAAGTACTACCATTTCGTCTGAGCCTAGAGATGAAGACCTGCTTCTCCCACCTCTGGGGTTAGGATGGGAAAATGTGAAATTTCCCAATTAGAGGATTATAAGGTACCATCACATCATTCGTTGGAATTGGAATGACTCTGTAGTTGGAACTGGGCCCTGGATTGTGGTCTTTGGTTATTAGTTCATATGTAGCCAAAATGCCTACTCCAGAAGTCCAGTGCGTTAGAAAGAGAAATTCGAAGTGTCGCCTCTATGCTACAAGAGTTCCGGAAAAGGGAAGTTTGTTTACTTTGTACTGGGATCGCCTCGATGGCTTTTTCCTCCCACTCGTAGTAAAAGCTGGCAAAGCTTTTCTTACTCCTGAGATGTTTCCCTCTACCAGTGTTTCTAAACATGTTGCACTTTCTTCACAGGCATGTCGATTTGACTTTTTTATTTTCAATCTTCTGGAAAGGGAATGGAGGCAGAAGTGGGACCTCTAGGGCTCTGTCATCTCTGCTCTGGGTGTGGGATGCCGCTGCACCTGTCCCTTCTGACTCAGGGAAGTATCTTCTTGCCCACAGCATTTCTGTGTGGAGAGGTTTTTAATCCTCTGAGGTTTCCACCTTTACATTTAGGCCGTGTACCCAGAAACCTGGCCTGATCTTTAATAGTGAACCTGTGCCACTGAAGAGAAACAAGGCTCCGCTGGATACATGAGGATGAAATCAACAGGCAGGGACCTTTTTATAGCCTTAGAGAAAAAAATTCTTTCATCCTTGGACTTTTAAATACTATTGGGATGATATTTTTTCTTTCTAAACAGGGAAAATAATGTTATAAAAGCATCTTTTTTGTTACTTGTTTGCATCCCTGCCCCACACCTATTTTACAAATACAAAAGAAAAAACCAACCATTTTTTTGTACAAAAGCACTTGAAAGATTAAAAAAAAAAAAAAAAGTTGGCCTAGTCATTTGTGTGAAAGACACTGGATTGCAGTAAGCGACAACTGAGACCAATTTTTATCCTTTTACTGAGGAGGAAAAAAATATTTAATATTTTTGTTGTATAAGGAATAGCACCTAAGGCAGGTATTTATACTCCTGACCTCAGCCCCACACACTCCTGGTTTATAAAGCTATAGGACAGAGCAGAGTTGGAACTGAAAAGGAAGGGTAGAAGACAACAGATAGATTGGAAGGGAGCAGGGGGATGGATGCAGAAAGAATGACAACAGCCACGTGTGCCAAACACTTTTAGTCCCTGCAGCAAATCAGAATGATGCCAGCCAAGTCTCTACACTGCCTGGTGAACCTGCTATGGATGCAGGAGAAAATGTTCAATAGTACAGGAGTGACTGACAACAAAGAAAACTGGACCATAGCTACTGTCAGATAATCCAGAAGAAGTACCAGATTTTGCTACTTGTGTCACACAAGCTAGAAGAACCCTACCTCTCCCATTGGGGAGGCACAACTACATTTCACCCATTTCCTTGCCTTAGCATAATGCATATTCCTCTTGGAGAACTGAGACCCTGGTTCCACGCCACTCCAGGATAAGGCTGAGCAGTCCTAGTTCTCTAGACTTCCTCTTTTATAAAGGTTGGATTGGGGAGGTGAGAATTGTAAAGATTTTAAAAAATAAAGTAGAACCCAGAGAAAATGTCAAAGCTCTGCCATGTAGCACCAGCAACCAATTCGAACTTTCCTTCCTTGTCTCAGTAATGCCCTCCACAGATTTACATAATTGGAACAGTTCTTTATTCCCTGTAAAGTCTGCTGGTACCAAGTTACAACCCGGACAGTGGGGAACGTCTGCCTTAGGCTGCTTTGTGCAAGAGGGCCACCTTAAGTCTCTTTGAGGACATTTATCTTGGCGCAGATCTTGAGGGCAGGGCCCAGCTTGATGTTCATGGCACTCATAAGATGTTCCTCTTTAAGTAATAAAAGGGCCTGTCCATCAATCTCCTGGGAACGGAACTCCTCCGCAATCTCTTGGCAGCCTAGAAGGAAATGGTAGGAATATGAGAAAGTATATGGTAGCACCAGAGGAGAGAAGGGGAAAACTAAAGATGAAAAAATGGACCTAGCAATAGTTAATCCCCCAAGTACATGTCCCACATTCAGTAATATAAAGGTCTGAGATGGCAAGCTTTGGGAGCAAAAGGAAGTCAGAGAGCAGCTGGCTGTTTAAAAGAGAGCCAAGGGGCCGGCAGAGTGGCTCAGGTGGTTAAGCGCTCGCTCAAGAGTGTGAGCGCTGAGCAACAGGGTTGCCGGTTCGATTCCCGGCCTGAGCTGAGCTGCCAACAGGTGGCAGGATGGCTCAGCTAATTAAAAAAAAAAAAAAAACAAGATAAAGGAAGAACAACTAAGTTTTCAACCACAGAAATAACTTAATTTGAATAGCTTGGAGAAAAGGGTGGGAGCGAAGATATATACACGTTTTCTTTTACACTTGAAAGAGTTAAAACGAGCCTTTGTGACACTTTTAAGGGCACAGAATTCAGACAAATAGCAAGAAGCGCAGGGTGATTTTCTTTTTCTGGAGAAAACCATCCCTTAGAACTGTTTATAAATAATCCTGCTTTGAATAGCATAGGGTAACAATGGCCCCGTAACTTTCTAATCCCCTTCTTGATTGAAAAGTCTTCTATCCATGGTGGGTATCATAATCACACATAACAAAAATACTTTAAAAATTATTGGTAAGGAATATGGTTGAATCATAAGATGAAAATAAAACACTGAAATTACTGACATGACAGGGCAGTCAACCCGAAAGGAAATTAGGCAACGAGGCTGTAGGCAAGTAACTTGAATAAATATCCAGAGTAGAGCATCGTACCATACTCAAGCCTCTACTTGCTTAAAAGTCAGTTATGTTCCCTGTTACCAAGGCCCATGAGGGATGACCTAAGGAAAAGCATATAGGTGCCCAGGGTTCTGTTAGACCCTCAGTACCTTGTAGGGAGGCGATAAACTCATACACTTCCTCTACACTCCAACGGCTAGGATTACTGGACAGGAACACCGGGTTGATGCCATGTAATTCAGGTGTGGGCGGAGCTGTATTGGGGTTCCCCAGATCTCGTTCTCCATGCCCAGCTCTCACTGATAAAGGCCCAGGAGATGTTGGAGAGAGTGCTTCATCATAACTGGAATTATCTGAACCCCGGCTAGAGTCCTCTTGACCCTATAAAGAAAACCAAAAAACAGGTAATGAATAAGTTTCCTCTCCCCTCTCCAACCACCCTGGGTTTGGGTTAATATTGGGTATAGAGGAAAAACTGATCTTAACCACAGGTGAAATAATTTGTGCTTCCTTTGCAAATGCCTGAATTGTTTGTACTTCCTTTGCAAATGCCTAAAGTCAGCAGTCTATTCTCAAATGCCTTTCAAGTATAAACGATCCCTTTCTTGATTCTCCCCTTCTACCAACAATTGTCCTAGATTTTCTCTACTCAAATATAGTAGAAGGATAAATGGACACATGAACCAGTAATCGGGTGAGAGGAGACAAAACAGGTCAGGATCTCGGAATTTTGAGCTCTGGCCTCATAGTCTGTAGGCTCATTTTAAAGGTAGCTGGTGCTGCGACAGCAGCTCACCCGATGGCGCTTGCCCTGGATCTTGGCACGGGCGATGTCAGAGGAGCTGCGGCGGGGCCCACGCCGACGAACACGGGCATAGCTGGCTTCTTGGAACTCTTTCATTTTTTTCCTCTTCAGCCGGAACTGGTGGCTACAGCTCACATTATACCTACAGGTCAGGCACATACATACAGAATGTCAAAGGTGCTATAGAAGACTACCTTGCTGCCCTGCGCTAAAGGTGAACTGATATTTTAAGAGCTGACTTGGGGAAGAATGAGAGCAAAGGGAGGTGATGTGGAGTATCAGCTGTGAGACGATCTTAGGGAAGGGACCTGACATTAGATGACGGGCAGGAAGGGGTGCCTGCAGTACCTCTTAGCACAAGTCATGGAGCAGAACCTCTTGGAGCCACGGAACTGCTCTGCGGGGGCGTACTTCCCACAGTACTCGCACTTCAGGAGGTTCGCCTTCTTGTCCAGCTCTGAAAAACACGGCACCACATGACAGCCGCCATCAGTGTCTGTTGCATTAGGCCAAGAGCTGCACTCAGTTACTCTCAGGGTTTGTCCCCAAAGACCTACACCACCTAACAGAGAATCCTTAAAACATAAAGTTCAAATTCCAAAACTATAAAGGCATGTCCCTCAAACACAGCAGTTTTCCTAATCTTAAGCCACACTATTTCCATTTTAATGACAAATTTTAGCCTAATTCATACTCTCAAATTTCAGACAAGACTGTATTTCTGAACAGGAGAGCAGAACTAATTATGAACACTAATGCTTACAAAGATATCCCTCTCCCACAAAGTTTCCAAAAGCAGGAGTGGAAATGTAAGCAAGAATCTTGAATATAGATGATAAAATCTAGAATAAGAACTGGAAATTAAGAAATATCCTATTTTAGATCATCTTTGGAAAAATATATCCTCATAGTAAATAATTCAACAGGTTACTTTAGCTTGATAAAATTCCCTCTAATCCTATGGAATGCCTTTTGTGTGACTACATATTCTGATACATGATATGGTTTCTGTGTCTGGATGGACATCATATCATCCCTACTGTCAACTGATAATTACTATTTTACACTGAGTCCTCAAACACATCTCCATGAGCCTCCTTCCCCAGACGGGTCTCTAAATGAATACTTACCGGCAGATGGGCTGTCCCCGCCCACGGGGCCACCTGACTGATTCTCATTCAGCCCTGTTGGGAGGCCAGTCTGCAGTGGCTTCTCAGACTCTTTCAATAACTGAGAACAACCCACCTGTCCCAGAGAAAGTTTACAGTTAAGTTAGCCTGATTCCTGTATGCTTCCCTACAGCCTTCCCCAGCATTTCTCACCATCACGGCTTTGCCTGGATCTGAGTTAATGATCACATCTGGTTCAGAGAGAATCATTTTCAATATGGCAGTCAAGAGTCTCTAACTGGCTTTCCTCACATAAGCCATTGGAGAACAGCGTCCTGCTGTGGCTCCCTATTTTGTCCTTTTCCTTCCTAAGTTGAGGGACTGCATAGGAGTCAAGATAGCTGCAACTTATGCTACCTAGAAAATCCATTAACTTTTCTACCGCAATTTTCTTCATTATAAAACCCAGTTTGTCTAAACATTACAGCTTTAAAAGTCACTTTCTGGGCCGGCCGAGTGACGCGGTGGTTGAGCTGGCTTTGGGACGCCAGAGGGCCCCGGTTCGGATCCCACATGAGGGCCAGTGACACTGCCCTCTACAGCTAAGATGCTGAACAACAGCTCAACCTGGAGCTGGGCTGCCATGAGTCGCCGGTGACGGCGTAGGCTGCAGCCCCTGTGGCAGTGGGTTGCCATGGGCTACCGTGTGTGGCCAGCAGCCGTCGTGAGCGGCTGTCCAGAAGCCGGCAACTGATCTGCCTCGCCTGGGAAGAGCGCAATGATGATGCCAACTTGGGCCAGTGAAGCAACGTCCTCCACAACTAGACTGAAGAACAAAAGGACAGCAACTTGTCTGTTCCCCTTCCCCCAATTCCCCAGCGCTGTTCCCATACCCCAATTCCCCAATTTAAAAAAATCTTAAAAAAAAAAAATCATTTTCCTCCTTTTCTCCCCTTCCTAACATTTTCATTTTCTAGTCCTTTTCTCTTCCTTTGTTTCTTTACAACTCACCAAATAAACAGCAGAATTGAACCATTCTCTAATAATTAAATAGTTCTGAGCCTTTTTAGTGGAGACAACAGTCAGACCAAATCCCCACCTGAAAGTCCCACCTTATGGCCCTGCCCTCACCGGGAAAGGTTCTGCTCCTTCCTGGATAACGAAGCCTTCGATGATGTGGGTGAGAATCTGGGGCTTCACAATGGCCTGTGGGGGTTTTGAGTCACCCATCTGTCTTGACACCATGGCGAGTGTAGGAGGTGGTGCTGATGGGGCAGGAGCCAAGGATACTAGTTCACTGCTTGGGATATTAGCATTCACATTGGTCACTGGATCAGCTTTCTCTGGAAAATAAACACAAATTCAGGAACAGATATGGGATAACAAAACTGAACCATCTATTAGCCGAGCCAGCGTGATCTTCCACAATAATATTGAGTTGTCGGAAAAGTCATGACACATTTTTGCAATGAAAGACATAGAAAAAATACGTCATGATTTTTCCGACAACCCAACAACCCAATATATATCCACCTCTGCTCACCCTGGATTCCCTTTTTTTTAATCTACTCCTTTGTCCACAAGGTGCAGGCCTATATTCTACTGAAGCGGATTTATCTTTTAGTTCACTCACTCAGAGCACTTCTCTAATCTTTGTGCACTCCAACAGCACTGCAGAAGTCAGTCTCTCACCTCCAAGACTGCTCTTCTCCTCCATGGCCTTTGGGCTCTCTGCTACTGGAGAGGCCTTGGCAGGAAGCACTGAACCCACTGTGGAGACATCGTCTCTCTCCTCCTCACACTCAGCCTTGCGTTTGACGCCCAATGTCTGGGCTTTGCCCTAAAAGGTAAAGAATAGGAAAGAAATCAAGATTTATGAGTGAAGGATAATAAAGAACCACAAATACCCCCATATTTCAGAGAAAATTTTCTTAGTTCCAGATTCCCCAATTTTGTGTACTTCCCACGGTACATTAAAACTCCTGGTCATCCCCAAGAAGTTTAACTTCCACATCAAAAGAAAACAGCAACATTACTTAGTCCTGACCTAGATCTCGAGACCCTGGATTCGTTATGGCCCAACCAAGAACTGTTGTTATTTTAATGATTGTTTAGGTACTTAAGCAATCATTGTTTAATGATTGTAAAGCGACCTGGGTCTAACTTAGTACAGATCCAAAAAACCCAGAATGACTTCAGTAGCAGATTTAGGAGTATGAATTTTAGGTGTTATATACATTAACATCTCTCTTTCTTACAAAAGGAGCAAATAAATACCTTCTCAACTCTTCAATCCCCTAAGTTAAGCTCTATTTCTACTCAGCCCCAGGTTTACTCTCAAGACTGACCGTGCCCTCAAAACCACCAGACATCACTCACCGGCAGGTGTACAGATTGCATGTAGAAGGCAGCAGGGACCTGGGCTACGACCGGTGAGGAGGTGGTAGCCCCACCCTTTACCACATGTGCTGTCCCCTGCACAGGAGCAAGGGTCATCCCAGAGGCCAATGTGGCAGGGCACTCCTGCAGCGCACCAGGAGCCTGGGATGAAGGTGGCGAAGAGGCCAAATGGGCCTGCCCAGGCTGCATTGTACCTGGCATCCCCCGGGAAGTAGGCACAGCAGCTGCCAGCTGTGCCAACCCCAAAGCCTGTGCCTGGGCTGTGCCAGGCTGTCGGGTGCCCACAACTTGCACAGGGATATGGGGTGGTGGTTGCTGTGTAGCTGACATCTTAGCAGCCCCTAACTGCGGAGGTTTGATCGGTGCTATAGGTGGTTTGGACTGGATGGGGATGGGTGGCTTGGGAGTGGGGTCGGGTGGGAGGGACAATGGTGAAGACTGAAGCATGGGCTGAACAACCAGGGTTTGGGCTTGCTGCTGGGACTGGGAAGGTGGGACCTGCTGAGTAGGTGGGACCTGTGGAGGCTGAGGGGCAGAGAGAGCTGTGGCTTGCTGCTGCTGCTGTTGCTGCTGCTGCTGCTGCTGCTGCTGCTGTTGCTGCTGCTGCTGCTGCTGCTGCGCCAGCTGGAGGTGTGTGGCTGTGTGGAGCAGCTGAGACTGACGGTGCTGGAACTGCTGCTGGTGGTGGATGGCAATCTGCTGCTGGATGACCACCTGCTTCTGCTGGAGGTGGATCTGCTGCTGCTGCTGGATCAGGGAGTGGGGCTGGATCTGTGTGTAGGTGGCTGCAGGAACCAGCCCAGACAGAACAGAGAGGCAGAAGATCAAGAAATCATCACCATTATCCATTAAAGGTAAAATCAGCTTGCCAAGGTGTATCTAGTTTTGGAATCACACAGTGAATGGAAATCTAACCTGGAAGGATATGAGAGATCACCTCATTTGTATTCTTTCCAGAGTCAGACACTACCAGATATTACCAACAGTATCTCGTCTTAAAGATCTCAAGGAAAGAGCTCCCTTACTCAATCATTTAAATCCCAGTAAGTTCTCACACTTATCTAACTTTTCTTTTCTTTGCTATACTTTTTTTTTTTTTTTTAAAGATTTTATTGGGGATTGCGGAGCGGAACAGCACTGGGGAATCAGGGAAGGGGAACAGCCAAGTTGCTGTCCTTTTGTTCCTCAGTCTAGTTGTGGTGGATGTCACTTCACTGGCCCATGTTGGTATTGTGATCACTGCGCTCTTCCCAGCTGAGGCACACTGGTCGCTGGCCCTTGGAGGGCCACTCACGGCGGCTCATGGCAGCTCACGCCTGCTACCGGCTGCTCACGCTGGCTGCCGGCCACTCACGGTAGCTTACAGCAGCCCACTGCAGCAGGGGCTACAGCCTACGCCATCGCTGGCCACTCATGACAGCCCAGCTCCACTCGAGCTGTTGTTCATCATCTTAGCTGTAGAGGGCACAGCGTCATTGGCCCTCATGTGGAATCCGAACCAGGGCCCTGCTGCTCAGAACTGGCGCTCCCAAGCCAACTCTTAACCAGCGCGCCACTCGGCCAGCCCTATTTGCTATACTTAAATCCTGTTACTCTGTACTCAGCAAAATGAGCTGACCCATCCTCTATATCAGGGGTCGGCAAACTTTTGAGACTGAAGAGCTGCCAGGGTCAACAAACTGCGGCTTGCGCAAGCCACAGGCTCTGAAGTAAAGTTAAAAATGAAAATAAAACTATCATAGTTTCATTTATAACATTTTTAAAGGATATTATTCATATAATGGTGATCATGTAAAAATATATTTGTGGCTCTCGATAATTTTTAAATTGTTGTGAGGGACAGGATTGGCTCTTCCAGGGTTTGGCAAACTTTTGAGACGGAACGTACCCAAAGAGCCACATGTGGCTCGCAAGCAGCAGTTTGCCGACCCCTGCTCTATAGGATTGGACTCTGAGTTCCTCAAGGCTGAGTCCCTGTTTTATTCATGCTTACCCCCCTAGAACCCAGCCCAGCTCATTAGAAATACTTAATAGTCACGGAAAGAATAAATGTCCACAGAGGTAAAAATAGCCACATCTTCCCATGAATGTTATGGTTGTTACAATTCATGGTTGTTTAGGTCCCCACCTACAAGAAGTCTCAGGAGTCAACTGCTGTAGACTCTGATTTTACCCAGCTTCCTCCTCTGTAAACTGAAGCTGACAATCTCACCCCTCCATACTCCACCAGACTGTCCAGAGAACACAGGTGATATGCAAGCACCTTGGAAACTGAAGTGCTATAGTATGTGAATACTAAGTTATTAGCAATACAACTGATAATTCACTCTTTACTTTTTGCGAGTATATTACCAAATGTCGCAACAGCTAACATGGTAGAAACAAGGAGGGCAAAAATAAACATTGCCAAGTAAAGTGCACATATCCTACTATGTCTCACCACAGACTGAAAGAAGTATAAACTATTTGGGGTTATTATATTACTTACTCTTTTTTATCCTTATTGACACAGGTTGACTGTATTAAACCTTGGCTCTATTTGCTAATCCTGGCGCTCTAAGAACTCACACCGTCTCTGCTCTACTCTGTGCCAACTAACCACCACTAAACATACATGAGGACAGAATTCATTAGGCTAGTAAGCTCTATGAGGACAGGGAATCCGTTTTCCAAGACGTATCCCTAGCACATTCTAGAACACAGTGGGCAACTCAGTAAGAGCTGGGTAAATGAATGGGGAGCATGAGTAAACTGAAGAGCTCAGGGCCGAAGAAAGAGAGGACAAGGCAACTTGTACAGTGATTGCTGCCCGGTGGAAAGAGACAAGATCTGTCACCTGTCCTCCTGTCTCCCTGCACTGACATGATCAAGGCTGATGTGACTCTTTCTTTCCACGACTCCAGGACAAAGACAGACAGGAGAAAAGGGAAAGAAATGTACTCTGAAGATTTCACACAAGTTCTGAGAGAATAATGACCTTATGAGAAGTGACCACTTACCTGAGCTAATAAGGGTCTGGCTGGGAGCAGGTGTAGCTGTCCGTGTCAGGTTCATGCCCACATTCTGCGGACCAGTCCCATCTGCTTCTGCCTTCTTGGCTGCCGCGCTTTCTGCTTCTGTCTGGCTGCCCTGACTCACAGTCACTGTTTGGGCTGCAGGCAAGGGCTGCACCACTCCTGTGCCCTTCCTGGGACAGCTCCCACCACCACCCATTCCTGAGGAAGGCAACTGACCCAAGCCCCCAGGTGCCTGGCCACTTCCACCTGGACCCATGGACCCTTGGATGCTATTCCCGCTGCCTCCACCAGCTTGACTAAGGTTGAGGGACTGGCCTGAGGCCCCAGAGGAAGACTGAGCCACAGCTAGGGCCTGGCCAGAGGCCTGGGAGAGGCTAGAGACGGGGGAGGCTCCAGGGGGAACGGCCTTCTGAGTAGAGCCTTGCATTTGAGGTCCTTGGGCTGAGGCCTGTTGGTTCCTCACAGCCAAGTTCTGCACCTGAAAGATGAGAAGAAAAGGGTAGACTGAGAAAAGGGGAACAAGAGACACCAAGGTCAAAGGTTTCCATGACTGATTCAGAAGCAGCAAAGACAGCTACAGAGATTCCACAACCCACCTCAACTCATACTCCCACCTTTACAATTATGTAGAGGGTGCCAAAAAAATGTATACACATTTTAAGCAAGGAAAACTGTATTAAAATTGTAGTAATATATAATGATAACAAAAAGTGACTACAACTCACGTTTGACTTCTGTAATTACAAGAGGTGCTCAAAGTGGTTACCATCAGCATCCAGACACTTCTGATTATGGTGAACTACTGCTTGAGCAACATTGACCAAAGTATCCACTTACATACATTTTTTTTTTGGCACCCCCAGTACATTAAAGGCCTTCCAAGGAAGAACTCTTAAATCAAATTTTATTTTTCAGGCTCCTTCATTCACTATCAAATCTATTATTAAGTTTGGTCATTTATTCCTTCAGAATGTCTCAGATTTTCCTTTCCCTCTCCATTCATTCATTTGACATCTACCAAATACCTACTAAGGCTCAGGTACTACATTGGATACTGGGAATGCAGGGATGAAAGACAGTCCCTGCTCTTAATGAATACGTTCTACTAGGGAAGAAAGACAAGAAAATCACCAATAACCGTATTATACCACACAAAGGTATGCACAAAGGGCTATGGGAGCACAGAGGAGGAGGATTAACTCAGACTGGGTAGATTATGGAAGACTTCTTAAAACAGGTAATGTTTGACCTGAGGCCCAATAGGTAACAGTGAAGGTGACGGTTTGAGGACACAGGTAACATTTGCAAGGCCAGTGAGCCAAGCAAAGATAGCTTTTTTGGAAATTATAAATATTTCATTATGTTTGGGATGAGTCAGAGGGAGTGGCAAGAAATGAAAATAGGAAGGTAGGCCGAGGCTGGGGAGGTAGAAAGGTGCCGATGATCATGAAGGACCTGGTATTTTAAAATAAGGAGAATCTGAACTTCAGTTTGGAAACAGAAAATGTATCTGCCTTCTTCACTGTTAAATTCCCAGCACCTTGCACAGTGCCTGACACACAGTAAGTACTCCAAAATATGAACAGAGAGAAGGAATAATGAGCATTTAATTAAATATTAAAAATATTAATCAGAATAAACATGATCAGGGCCGGCCAAGTGGCTCAGCTGGTTAAGAGCTCGCTTGGGAGCACCAGCTCTGAGCAGCAGGGCTGTGGTTTGGATCCCACATTGAGGGCCAATGATGCTCGCCCTCTACAGCTAAGATGGTGAACAACAGCTCAACCTGGAGCTGGGCTGCTGTGAGTCGCCAGCGACGGCATAGGGCTGCAGTGGGCTGCTGTGAGCTACGTGAGTGGCTGGCAGCCAGCGTGAGCGGCTGGTAGCCGGTGTGCGCTACCGGGAACCACTGTGAGCGGCCGACCAATGACTGGCGACCAACTGC